GGGTTCAAGCAATTCTCCTGCCTCAGCCTTCCTGAGTAGCTGGGACTACAGGCACGCGCCACCACGCCCAGCTAATTTTTCTATTTTAGTAGAGACAGAGTTTCATCATATTGGCCAGGATGGTCTCGATCTCTTGATCCGCCCGCCTCGGCCTCCCAAAGTGCTGGGATTAAAGGCGTGAGCCACCGCGCCCGGCTGGGCTATCATTTTATTAACAAATAAAAGAATTCCCCAAAATATAGTAGTGTTTATCTTCGAATGATGAGACTACAGGTGATTTTTGTTTTCTCTTTTGGTACTTCCCATGTTTCCCAAACTTTCTGTATTGAATATTGTTGAGAAATGGTTAGTGTATGACTGCTGAGAAATGCTGAGTGTATGATAAAATATATTGTTTGCTAAGAACAGTGGCAAGGAAAACCTAACTGCCACCCCCCACCCCACCAAGTGGAAAACTACTTGGGGCATTCTAAAGTAGCAAATTACAGTACAGGTATATCATACACCAGTTAAAACAATTCTTTTAGCATGGCATACGTGACCCTGCCCCCGTGGCTTCCTAGTGGAGATCTGTGGTAAGCAGGCACCAGCTGTCTACCTAGTTTGTCTTGGTTCTATGAGAAAACACAGGACACCTGTTTGTTAATAGTATCAGTGGTAAGCAGGCACCAGCTGTCTACCTAGTTTATCTTGGTTCTATGAGAAAACACAGGACACCTGTTTGTTAATAGTATCAGTGGTAAGCAGGCATCAGCTGTCTACCTAGTTTATCTTAGTTCTATGAGAAAACACTGGACACCTGTTTGTTAATAATCACCTGTTCAGAGAGAATAAATACGTGGGTCAAAATCTGTTCGAGGCCCTCAGCCCGGAATGCTGTCAGCCCCATGATGCTCTCAGCTTGGAGGGCTGTGGGCCCCCTATGGTCGCACTTTGCTATTCTATCTGGGTGTCTGCTTGTTAATGCCTTCAGCGCCGCCTGGGTGGGCTTCTCTACGCTGAGCTGGTCTTGGTAGAGTATGAATTACTCTCAAGTCACTTTAAAAACATCTCAAGTTTGGTGTTTTGTGTTCCCATACATGGTGTTGTTGGACACCACATGTGACTCCAATGTGTCCAGAAACCACTTGGGTCCCCCAATAGGGCTAGCAGCAACCTAGCAGCCACTCCAGGCCTGGACAGTGCTAGAACATTACCCACCTCAGTGGCTCTGATCAGTTTGGGAAAACCTCAACGATTGCTCAACTTGGTAAAATACTTTAGCTGTCCCCTTTAAACCAAAAGGGGATCTCTGAAAAGGCCCAAGGAACTACTTTAACAACCTATACAACCTCTAGATATTTAAGATCAGCTGAACCACATAGTAGAGATCTGTCAGACTATGGGCATGGGTGCTGTAATTCTCACAAGCCAGGAGTGCCACAGAGGGTCGGCGTGAGCCGGCGCGGGGTGCGCCAGGTAGCCAGCCCCCAGACCGGAAATCCAAGGCAGGCCCAGGGAGAGAGGACCCTGGGGCGGCTTCTCCTTACTTCGTGTCTTTGCCAGTGCTCTTGCCTTTCTTTTTGTCCTTTCTCTTCGACGGCATCTTGGCTTCCCCAGGGACTCTGCTGTCGCCGTTGCCGGGCTGCGGCCGCCCGGGCCAACTCTGTCTCCAAGGAAACCGGGACGCCAAGCGGGTAACATCGCCCGCCCGCGCCGGTGACGGCGCACGAAGAGCGCACGCGCCGGTGACGTGACCCAGGCGCCGCCGCGCGGGGGGCGGGGCGGAGGTCACGCCGAGGGCAGCGGGCCGCCGCGCCGGGGCAGCGCGCGCGCGCGGTGAGTGTACCACAGTCAGAGGCGCCTGAGCCTCTACCTGGGGCTCAGGCTAGGCCAGCGGCCCGGCGGGCGGGAGGCGGGAGCCGGCAGCCTCGGTCGGTAGCGCCGCGTCTTGCGGCCCGGGTGTCTCGGGCGTTGCCACGGCCGGGGCGTCCTTGCCTCAGGAGGCTTAGATCCTCGCGTGTCCGCCTGTCCCGCCGCGGTGGTCTGAGCTGCGGCCCCTAGCGGTTTTGCAGCGTTTCCCTTGCCTGCACGCGTAGCCAGCGTGGCTGGGGCTGCTTTGCCCTCGCTCCTGCCCCACCTCCGCCGCTCCCGGCACTACTCGACTGCTTTGCGTTCCATCTTATTCCTGGCTTCTCACCCTTGCTCATTCTGTAAGGGGTGGCGCAGCCGGCGGACGTCCCAGGCCAAACGTTTTTTGATAGGCAGTTGAGGACTTTCCCAAGGGCGGTGGTTGGGGGCGAGGCTGCCAGCCTCCCAAGGGCAGCAGCATGCCAGGGAGCCGGGCGCGGAGGGGAGTGCTGCCACCATGGTCAGGAGCAGGGTCCTCGGCCCCACTCGGTCCTGTGGCCGACACTGCCCACTCACGACCCCTCCTCCCCCCGGGATTCCCATTTGCTTAAACCTCACCCGCCCACAGCCTTCTTTCCTGAAAGTTACGTAAAGTTAAAAGCGCTTCAACTTGCTTCCCCCAAATCCCGAATACACCTCTGAAAAGGAGTGTACTCGCAAGTATTCTCATTTTTCAATGAGAGGCAGTGAGTCACTAAGGAAGATAATCGTATTCCAAGTGCCAAGCCAATAGTTAGGAGACTTGTGGTTGAAACTCTGCTATGTTAAACTCCATTTCAAATTAAAAAGTTTATTTTAAACATCATTGTAGATCCTTCCTCTCCATTTCTCTGGGGTGGACTTAATCTCTATACCCCTTCCCCTTATTTCCAACTTACATAGTTTCTATCTCTGAGGCCTGTGATTAGAGGGAACATGCCAGTTTGGTAATGATAAACCCTGTAAACTTTGTTGTTGTTGTTGTTGTTGAGATAGTCTCCTTCTGTGGCCCAGGCTGGAGTGCAGTGGGGCAGTCTCGCGCAACCTCCATGTCTTGGATTCAAGTGATTCGCCTGTCTCAGCCTCCCAAGTAGTTGGGACTGCAGGTGTGTGTGTCACCACGCCTGGCTAATTTTTGTATTTTTGGTAGAGACGGGGTTTCACCATGTTGGCCAGGCTAGTCTTAAACTCCTGGCCTCCCAAAGTGTTGAGGCCCACCCCCCTCCCCTTCCCCCACTCTTCCCCCCACCCTTCCCCCCATCACCCGCGGTAAACCTTTTTATACACACCATCTGCCAGCACGATCCTGGCTTTTTCTTCTTTCCTTTTTTTTTTTTTTTTTTGAGATGAAGTTTCACTCTTGTCATTCAGGCTGGAGTGCAATGGCATGATCTCAGCTCACTGCAACCTCCACCTCCTGGGTTCAAACGATTCTCACTGCCTCAGCCTCCCGAATAGCTGGGATTACAGTTATTCACCACCACTCCCAGCTAATTTTGTATTTTTAGTAGAGACAGGGTTTCTCCGTGTTGGTCAGGCTGGTCTCAAACTTCTGACCTCAGGTGATCTTCCCACCTCGGCCTCCCAAAGTGATTACAGAGGTGAGCCACTGCACCTGGCAGATCATGGCTTTTTCTGACTATTTCTGGTACATTTTCACACTGCCATGGGTCCATAGATGAAATCACTGTTGAAGGGGTCATCTCTGTCACAAAATCTATAATGTTACCATTAATTTTGTATGTTTAAGGTTCTGAAAAAGCACACTGTTGATAAGCTGCAGAAAATAGTAGGGCATCTTCTGTCACATTCTGTATATTTGAAATTTATTCTAGAAATCGGTAACTTTCATATGAAAGTCGGTGCAAGACTCCTCATTTGAACATTTACATATTGATTTATAAACATAAAAATTTGACCATAAGAAGATTATTAACGTATTTATAGTACCTTAGTTATGGTACTTTGCAGTTTCTTGTATTGGTTTTGGGGGTTAAAAAACCAATTTGGTTTTGGTGGTTTGAGATAGGGTCTTACTCTTGCCCATGCTGAGTACAGTGGCAGGATCATGGCTCACTACAACGGCAACCTCCTAGGCTCAAGTGATGCTCCCACCTCAGCCTCTGGGGTAGCTGGGACTATAGGTATGGACCACCATGCCTGGCTATTTTTTTATTTTTTGTAGAGACAGGGTTTTGCCATGTTGCCCAGGCTGGTCTGGAACTCCTGAGCTCAAGTGATCCTCCTGCCTTGGCCTCCCAAAGTGCCAGGATTATAGGCATGAGCCACCAAACCTGGCCTGGTTTATTTTATTGTATTACATGTTTTTTAATGACTAAGTTTGATTTTGTAGATAAAGCTGTTGTGACATAAATATGGCTCAGAGAAATGCCAAGATTTCATACTCTGGTAGAGGTGGATCTAGTCTACAGTCTTCTGAATCTCATTTTCTACCAAAGAACTGGATGTTGTCATCTATTGGTGAGCAACAACTGATAGTACAGATAGTAGGGTAGGAAGTTGCTATTTAGCAATTCATCTGTTAGCATTTCCTTCCACAATTACTGGTAGGTGCCTTTATTATGAAATTTCAGGAATTATTTTACTAAATACATTTGCCTTGTTTCATTGTTTAAAACACTAATGCTTTTAAACTTCGAATAAGCCACTTCATGTTTTGTTGATTTGGTTTTGTAATTCTTTTTCTGTCCAGTTTTCCTTGTTCCTGGTCAACAAAGAAATGTGGAGTATCTCAGCTGAATCCTCATACAGACAAGATCATTATGGTGCTGTTAGGTAGGGCTTGTATCCAGATGTAAGGTAACATCTCCACCAGCTTAAAAGTTGTAAATGTATTTCAAATGCTCTTGAATGGTGGTTTTCTTTTTTTCCTAAATTTGATTCTCCATTTTTTTTTGCCAAGTGATACTCATTTTGTTCAACAAGCCATATATAAAATTTAGAACTATTATGTATCAAAATAGATAGAACTTCTGGCTGGGCATGGTGGTTTGTATCTGTAATCCTAACACTTTGGGAGGCCAAGGCAATGGATTGCCTAAGCCCAAAAGTTCAAGACCAGCCTGGACAACGTGGCAAAACCCCATCTCTACAAAAAATACAAAACTTAGCCGTGCATGATGGCATGTACCTGTAGTTCCAGCTACTCAGGAGGCTGAGTTTAGAGGATCACCTGAGCCCAGGGAGGTCAAGCTGCAGTGAGCCGTGATTGTGTCACTGCACCCCAGCCTGAACAACAGTGTGACTCTTTCTCAAAAAAAGGGGGGAGTAGTACTTCTACTTTTTCTTCAAGTAGCTCCAAAAGTGTTTACTTTATAAACTCACTTGTAACTTTATTCTTGTTTACCTTAGATGCCATGTTTCTCTTCATAGGTGCTACTTCATAGGTGGAACAGACTAAGTGAACAGGTTTAGATTTTGGTTTTATATAGCCTTTAGAATCCTAAATGAATACATTATTATCCAAACTGCATCTGAAGGGAATAATCAGTGTTTCTCATGCACGTTACTTTCTCTTTTTTTTTTTTTTTTTTTTT